AGTTTTGGCATCTAACATTTTTAGCTAGTGAACCTGCCCTTCCTCAGGCACACTATGCCTCTTATTTCCTGGGCCTTTCCTGTGACAGAGATCTCAATCTCTGAATTATTTGTTGAGAGATTATTTGCAGGCCAGGAAGTTAAACCACTAATAACTCTGGATTGCTTGTGATGGGCTTTAAAAGTCTCAGTCAGAATTTTTACTGTAAAGAATACTGAGAAGAGAGAGTTTGCTTAGAGAATGAGCTGGATATACAGGATTTCCTGCCCACTCCAAATGTCTGCCAGAAGTATATGTGATGTAAACAGAAAAAAAATAAAATCAGTTAATGTAAAAAGCTGACAGAAGCAATAGTCATGTTACTAGAGAAATGCGTCTATTGTAAAACATGAGAAGAATTAGAAGTTATAAAGAAGAAAATAAGCATTTTGTTAAAACTGGATGTTCTATTTCAAAGGCCAGCTGTGATACTGAGTATCTTGATTTTTTTAGGATTCTTAAAAAAAATTTTAAAAAAGGCCCAAACTGTATTATCTTAGTACACTTCCAGGCCATCTGATATAAGCTGTAAGCTGGGCATACTTAAGAGGCTTAATAATGATAGCAAGGCACAGTTGTTTCTATACTGGCATTACTGAAACTCATTATCGTAGTTCTGAGATTTATACTTACTGCTTGTAAGGAAGGCTGTATGTGAGAAAAGAGTGTCATCTGCCATTTCTCACTGGCAGACACATTAATTTTACTAAATCTGCTTTGTTCATAGATAATTTCTTGCTTTCAAATGTTATGCAAAACTGACGTAGTTATTTTTTTGTGTAGTATTTGTAGTGAGTCATTTAGGCAAAGAAAAATTCATCACCAAAATAGAACCGTGGCAGTAAAGTAACAGCTTTAGCCTGTGCATGGTCTGAGCGCTATGACAAAAACCTTGATGTGGTTTTCAGAGAAAGCAAGCCATTGCAATTTCATCTTCATGAATGCATTTGTAGCTTAAAAGCTTAGACTTTAAGCCTCACTAACAATTTACTTGGAAACAGCAACACGCTGTGTGTGGCTTTGCATCAATCTGGTGTGGGTTATCTGCAACCCTCATCCCCTACATCTCGCTACCAGTAGTAATCCCATTAGATGATTACATCTGGTGTCCTCAACAGACAGATTTAGTCATCATTGAAAAATTACTTCAAGTGGATTTAATTAGCTGTGTGGTCATTTTATTACCAGCGCCTCTCGTACCCTATAACTTTGCCTTAAGTGAAGTGAATTTATGGCCCGCTAGGACATGCTAGTCTACAGTTGTGCGCATAACTGTCTGTTATTTAGTCAAAACTACAAGAATCAAGGGTTGAGCGGTTTTGTACTCATGAATCTTTAATGCAGCTGTACTAAATGTCACTGTAATATCTGATTACCAATTTGTGGCTGAGTCATTTGAGGAAGGTGGTCTGTAAGCTGGTGAGAGCAGTTAGCTCTTCCTAGACTTGTTTTGTTTAGCTCAATGGAAGAGAAATGTATATTTCAGCATGGCGAGCATTTGCTTGCAGTGTGGCTGATGGCCTGGATCCGAATAGCTGTTATGATCTCAGAAATAGGAAATCTTCAAGCTTGGGCAAAATTGCACCCATTTGTTGCTCAGTAACAGGCAGGCAGAAACTGGCCTTTAGCAGAGAAGTATTTTTATTTTCCTACACCTTTCTAATCTTTTGGCTAATGATATTTATCTTTGGCTAGTGATATTGATCTATGTACAATTTATTTATCTTATTTTACTTGGAGAAGAGGGAAAACTATTGAGGGGGTCTCTTTAGCTTGGAGAAGAGGAGACTGAGGGGTGACCTCATTAATGTTTATAAATATGTAAAGGGTGACTGTCATGAGGACGGAGCCAGGCTCTTCTCACTGCCATCCGATGATAGGACAAGGGGAAATGGATATAAGCTGGAACATAGGAGGTTCCGCTTAAACATGAGGAAGAACTTCCCAGTAAGGGTAACAGAACACTGGAACAGGCTGCCCAGAGAGGTTGTGGAGTCTCCTTCTCTGGAGATGTTCAAAACCCACCTGGACGCATTCTTGTGTGATCTGATCTAGGTGGTCCTGCTCCGGCAGGGGGATTGGACTAGATGATCCTTTGAGGTCCCTTCCAATCCCTAACATTCTGTGGTTCTGTGAAAGAAGTTGAACTGGTTATCCATATGGATGGAGACTTAGTGAGAAGTTTTTGAGCTTTCTTTTCCTATAGAGCTGTCTCTGGAGTGGATCTGAGGAACTGAAAAAGGTGTAGCACGTTCACTAAGAGTGGGTCCAGATTTGGGCAAGTGAATGAGCTCTGCAGACCCACACTTAGCACACGTGTAGACGGAAGTTCCTAAATAGAAACTGAGATCATGCACACTCCTTGAGGTGGAGATAGCAGGGGAAGATGTCCATTATGAATGTAGCTGTGTTCTTGAAACCTGTTGTCCAGGCTTTTCCTTCAGAGAAACCATGTCTTGTTAAATAAAAGGCTGCGCAGATTCAGTCATTCTGGCAGAGAGGTGTCTTGTGGTCTCCAGCCTCCACAGTACAAAATAAACAGAGTATAAGCATCTAACCTGTACTGAACAGTGAAGCCTGGTGCACTAGTAAGACGGTAACACTGTATTTACGGGCTATGTTGGCCAGAATGAGGAGGTCTAAGTGTTTCTACAGTTTGGTGTTTCCTGTAACTTTTGTATGTTTGGACCTAGTGTTCTGGCAACACAGGAGACCCTGTGATGTTAGAACCTGGGGAACGGGTACTGTTGCTGAGTTGTGTACAGAGGGGAGACAGGCTGATAACTGTGACATCTGCTTAGCTAACTTTAACACTTGAAGTAGGTTTCTATTTCACTATTCGCTAAAAAAAATAATTACATCTTTTGGCTGAAATGTAAGGATCTGAATGGTAAGTACAGATTCACAGTGAAACTTTTTGGTTGAGAAAGTTTCACTGCATCCATAAGATCATCCGAAGGAACGTGGAAAATTTTATACTGGCCTGTTTCTTCTAAATTCAGGCAGGTTCAAAAGAGAAGCACAGGACTAACCTTCAGCAGCAGCATATAAATACAACCTTACTTACTAGGAAAGGAAGAGAACATAAAAAAGTTATGCTGGGACAAAGTTAAGTGCAGTCTTTAAACATACACCAAGCTAAGGTACACAAAATGTTGAGCTGCATGTTGATCACTGTATTGCTCAAGTTTTTCCCATTAACTTGATTGCTGAAGCATGGAGAAAGCTACCACTGAAGAAAATGCTGTTTCATAACATTTCACTCTCCCTGTATTACCTAAGTCAGGTCTCATTTAATCTTGTTGCCTGAAGGGTCACTAAACATGTGATATAAAAACTGTGGGCCTTTCCTTGATCAATAGGGTCTTTTCTCACCTGAGAGCTGCAGCATCTGCCCAAAAAGGCAATATGGGCCAGATGGCAGGCATTTACAAGCTGGAGCAATGGACGGTGGGGCAGAGAGGTTTCAGGAAAATAATCCAGGGTTTTAATTTTCTGATGAATGACCTATGAGGCATGTTCTCCATGAAGTTGAAATCCATACCACATCTGGCACTTGGCAGTCATTTCATCGTTTCTTCCCAAGGACTTTCTGCATGTCCCTGGTTGGTTTTGCGGAGAAGGGGAGGAAGACTGTGGCAGCCAGCTGGAAAACATGGAACGTTTTGTCACCTCTCGGCACCCTGCTCTGCCGAAACATGTCAAAGCACAAGTGGGACACCCCTGCTGTGCTGCTGGTATCAAACAGGCATTGCCTTCTGAGTCGGTATGTGGAGGGACCTGCAGAAAACGGAAGAGGAAGAAGAGTACATTTAATTCCTTGTAGACTTCGCCTGAGTGTTGTCAAAGCAAAGTAGTCACTGCGACAAAGCAGCGCAGCAAACAGACTCTTACAGCTTCTCTTTGGACTGGCTGCTTCTGTACTTAGGGATGGGGTGTACCTTACTGCTAGCCCCAGGGTCACCTGGACCCGTGCCCATCACAGCAAGTTTCAACTCCCCTCTAGCTGCTCCCCTGTATTTCTTTTATCCTTTCTATGGACACAGCTTGCAAAGCAGGCCAGAGGATCACATCCTTGGATGGAAATTACTCCAGGCACAGGCTGTGGTGGGATGCCTTCTCCTTCAGCTCCTTGTGTGGACTCTGCTCTCAGATTATTGCCTTGGCAGCTTGTCTGCTGTGTAGTAGTTATGCCAGTAATTTTCCTTGCGTGGGGAAGGACTAAGGTCTTGGGTACAGGACCCAGAGCTCAAGGCTGAACAAGTCTCTCTTTCAGCATGGTGAAAGTAAGTGCTGTGCATATGCTTGAGTGAGGGGTGAGTGAAATTAAGGCCATGGGAGATGCCAGGCTTGGCCAGGAGTATGCTGTGACCACTCAGAGCTGAGCTGATATTCCTTCAGTCTTAAACCCCTGGGAATGTCCACATTTCACCTGAAGAATTGTGTTGCCAAATTGTCAACTTTCCTCTGGTGTCATGTCATTGGGCTGACTGCAACATGTGAGGATTTCTATTCTTGGGAAGTCTTCCAGCATCAAAATGTCAGCCCAGTGGAGTAGAGCTGCTTTGGAACAAGCCTCAGGTAAGACTCTGCTTTGGTTTATGAACTCAGTTTTATTGCACCAAGTTCAGGTTCTTGATGCTGTTCTGTACCGATTTCTATTTTGTTTGTTACAAACTTTGAAGTGCTTCTAAAGTACCAGCATGTTTAACTGACTGCATATAAGCTTTAATCTGTAGCTTCTTTAGTCTTGTACTTGATGATGGAAGAGCCAAAGAAACAGCTGAACCTGGTAGAAGAGTCCATCAAAGCCAAATAACTTAGCTAACACGTTTTGTAACCAGTGTGTTTCTCAGAAGCAATAAGATTAAGTGGATCATGTGGTGTGCTCTGTGCCTGGTGGAAAGAAGCTTATTTAAATTAAGAGGAGCAGAGAATCTGTGCCTCAGTCCAGAAAGAAAATGAGTTCCACAGAAGACCTTGACTATCCTCAAGTCATCTTGCAATATAACAGTGGATTTTTAGTCTCAAAGGTAAGAAATATAACTCAGTCTTGGATAGATGCCTAAGAGTATGCAGACAGAAATATTCAAGGATCTCACTTTAGGTCCTGAATATAATAAGTCTTTGGAGCAAAAACTATCTCATACAAGGGCATCCTGCCTGCTTATCTAGTCAGGAAGGAAATTTGAAAAGAGAAAAGATTTGAAAGTGATCTGGCCCCTCAGGATAGACTTAGCATTTATTGAGACCTCTCTGAACTTTGGGGGCTTGGATGAGCAGACCTTGTCTGTGCATAACACTTTATAAAAACCACAGGAGTTTATAGCTGAGGGCTTGCTCTCTGACTGCTTCAAATATGAAAGGTTCCTTTGGTGGTGCGATTTCTTCTCGCTTTTCATTTTTGGAATTTGAGAAACAGAGAGCTGACTTGAATAGCCTTTTTCCCCTCCTTGTTAAACTGTGCAAAGAACCAGATTTTTCAAATATCTTCTCAAAGAATTTCCTTCCCTCTCCCATGGTTTGTCTGTATGTATTATGTAGAAGGCTGAGCTTGAGAACTTCTGTGTATTGCCTCTTCTCAGGTGAAAGAAAAAGTCTAGTATAATGACTGTTTTTCCAAACAGCATTTGATTAATGCACAAAGGTAGAACTAGTAGTTTCACTTTCCTTATTTTTACTGATATTATTTGCCTTTTTGTGTGTGTAAGCACATGAGCATGAAATGACAATATCCAGTGCAGTGGAGATTTTTTCCTCATTTACTATTTAGTTGCCTTTCCTATTGTCCCTTGCTGCACCTCTGGCCAACATGATAAAGGAAGGAATGCTCTTTGGGTTGTGCAAATACTGCTGCATCCTAAGGCTCCAGGAAGGCAGAGCTGACAGTAAGGAGAGGAAAAATGGCTAATGAAAAATCTTTTTGCTCATTGAGAAAGAGGAGTGCCCAATGTTTTCCAAATTGACACTGGTACTATGTTTTTGAGAAACAATCTCAACTTTGATTAAACCATGTTTTTACTGAGGGAAGGAGCTTCCCATGGACTTTATCAAATCATTTGTAGATACAGGCAGTCAATTGACTTGATGCCTTTGTTACTGTTTTAAGAGTGTTTGTGTGGCCAGAGAAATATGCTAATACTTGTAAACTTCGCTGTATGCAGCTAAAGAAGGGTTTTTTCTTATGTATGGTTACATCTGTCTGTCTGAAGGTTGAGGGTTCTTTGGGGAGATGTTACACATCTTCTCTATGAAAAGACAGGGCAATTCTGCTGGCCCAAATGAGGCAGTCCTTTTGTTTGAAAGTAACATCCCTCTTAACCAAACTGCCTGAGTCAGTCAGGGAGACCACTGTAGTCAGGCACATCAATCCCTGAAAATAGGGTCCATAGAGTGGAATATTCCCCCCTGCTGCAAGCCATAGGAGAGTCCCCAGGGTTCACTGGCGCATACATTAGATTCCTAGTTAAAAAATAAAAACAACAATAGAAAAACCCACCACCACACAGTCTTGCCTTGCACTCTCCAGGCAAAAAACAAGAGAGACTGAGAATGTGCTCTGAAACTAAGGAAGAGGCAGGAACATTCACACCCAAACACTGGTCTCTAAATGTGAACCTTTGTGAGCCAAAAACATTGGCTGGCTTCACCAGAAAAGGAAAAGAAATGACAAAACGTGCACTACAAGCACTGTATGATATTATCGGTGTTCAGAGAAACTTAGATTTAATCATTGGACTTGTTAATATGAAATATGATTTTACATTAAAAAAATATTATGTGTATGTTTTCCCAACAAAGCAACTTCAGAAATGCAGTACACTTTGGTGCTTTCATCTGATCCTTCACTTCCACCTTTCCTTACCCCCAGGTTATGTTCACTGCCTGTGAGTTGGGGGTGTTTGATCTTCTCCTGGAGTCAGGAGAGCCTCTGTCTTCAGATGCCATTGCTGTGCGCTTGGGTACCAGCACCACAGGGATGGAAAGACTGCTGGATGCCTGTGTGGGATTGAAGCTCTTGGCAGTAGACCTGACACAAGAAGGAGGTAATAATGGCAGAAGAAGGGGAAGAAACTAAAAGACTTAAACCTCAGATGGTTTTGAAAGTGAGGCAAGGTGTGTGGGAGAGGTGATATCTAGTGTTAGGCCAGTTACCGTAGCTGGAAGGAGGAGAGAATCACTTGGGAATGCCTTCCCCTCTTCAACTGAAAGAGAAGCAGCAAATGTCAGCATGATTAAAGGTGTAAAGTAAAACCCAGGTGAAGGGCTCTATATCCCTAAAGTTATTAGTGCAAGAGCCTCAAGTGACCTTGGAGAAGATATGCAGGGTCTCTGCAGAGCTGGTCTCAAGAAAACTCTGAGGTTCGGGCATAATTTTAAACCTTAGAACAAAATGCGAGGGTGGATAGGCAAAAGCATGATTTAAAAACATGTTTTGTGTTTCTTTGGGGTTTTACCACCATGTGAAGTATTTTGTTAGATTGCTGATCTGAATTGAGAGGTGATGCACGTTTGCCCTTGCATCAGAGATGTTGAGCCCACATAGTCAGAAGGGATCTGTGGCCATCAGACAGCTGGTCAGGACTCGCCAGAGTCTTGCAAGTTGTGTCCCTTACTTTGGCTTGTGTTGCCTTGCGTTGGGCTTACAGTAGTTGCCCAATGAGTTTAGGGAGAACAGGATCTGTCTTTTACATTCCTTTTGTATGCCAGTCCTGTGAGTGAGCTATGCCACTGCAGATGTATTGGAGGAAGTGGGAGAGATTTCTGTTAGTCCTTTAGGCATTCATCTGTCTGCCGAAGGTCCTGCCCTAGTGAACTGAGAGAGGGTAGGTGTGGCTGGCATGCCATTTTGGAGACTTGTCTTCCACTTGCTAACTTTGTTGATCAGAAAAAAGACTTGGCTGCAAGGACTTCTCATTTAAATAGAGCATACCAAAAGCTTCCTCTGATAGCAGAAGCCTATAGGTAAATGATGACACTTGTAAGGCATTCCCCTTGTTCTTGAAGGAAGTGTTTGTGCTGGAGTAAATATAAGTGGATAGTGTTTACTCTCATTGAATGGATCAATACGCATTTCAGCAGCCCTTACCCACTGCTCATTGCAGTGGAAGGGTTGATTGTAGAAGCAACGTGGTTGTGTCTTTGGTCATATGGACATCTTCTGGTGATAAATACCATGCTGTACAAAAGGCTTGGTAAGGTGGTATATCATACATTTTAGTAAATATATTTATTTCACCCTTTAGCCCTCTACAGAAACACAGAAATTTCCAACATCTATCTTACAAAATCAAGTCCCAAGTCTCAGTATCATATTATGATGTACTACTCCAATACAGTCTACTTGTGCTGGCACTACCTGGCTGATGCTGTGAGGTAAGGAGGAGTGTTGTGCTGTCTGTTACAGATTGCTTTGCGGCATCTGTGTGGCTGCTTTAAGCAGTGTGTTTCTGGGGAAGGACACAGTGAGGATTCTGGCTGGCTCTTGGAAAGAAAAAACAACTGACCATTTTGGCTGTTAACATGACCAGTATGTGTTCTTGTTTTTTCCTGTTTTTCCATTTGTGTGTGTTCTTGTTTTCCTTTTCCTTCTGATGATAGAGATGATCTAGGAATCAGATTTTTGTGTGTTTGACCTTCAGGAAAGCACAGAGCATTACAGTGTCTTTTACTTGAGGAGATGTAGACAAAGTAAATGATGAGTGAAGTTGGCTAAGTATACTGCTGTTGCAAAGGTGTATAGAAGTAGTTTAATATAGGGTTGGAGTCTCACTTGTTCCAGTCTGTGCAACTGATGATCAAACATGGTGTTTGTGATGGTGATGATTGCACCAGTCTCATACATTTAACTGAGATGTGTTCCCATAAATCATGGAATCATGGAATAGTTTGAGTTGGAAGGGACCTTAAAGATTATCTAGTTCCAATCTCCCTGCCATGGGCAGGGACACCTTCCACTACATCAGGTTGCTCAAAGCCCCATTGTCATGGTTTAGGCTGGCTGGCAGCTAAATGCCACACAGCTGCTCACTCACTCTCCCCCACCCCTGGGAAACAGGGAAGAGAATTAAAGGAGAAAAGGGAAGGAGACTTGTGAGTTGAGGTAAGGACAATTTAGTACTAATATAAAATTAAAAGTAGTAATGATAAAACAATAATATATGGATATATATATACATATAATGCTAATAATATATACGAAAAAGTGATGCACAGTGTAATTGCTGACCACCCAATGACCAACACCTGTCCCATCCCAGTAAATGATTCTGAAAGAGCTAAGTCCTGATGTTACAATCCTGGATGAGCGAGAGGCCTGAAAAATGAGGGTGAGAGAGAGGTAATGCTCCAAGAGTGTGAGCCCCTGGAAGAGCAAAGGCCTTCCTTTCCGGTCAGCCCTCTTGCCCTCTTCTATATACTAGGTATGACGTTGCATGATATGGAATGCTCCATTGGCCAATTTGGCCCTCAATCCTAAGTCTAAGTTCAAATCATAAGGGGAGTTGTGGGCCTTTTGTCCCAGCCATGCTCCCCCCAGCCTGTTGTGCTCCTGCGCACTGGCAAGAACTGAAGACCTGAAAGGTCCTTAATCTCTCAGCACCAACTATAAACATCAGTGCACTATCAACATTCCTCTCATAGCCAATTTCAGACTAAAACCAAACCACAGAGCTCTTCTAGCTGCTAAAAAGAAAAACTAACTCTGTCACAGTCAAAACCAGGACACTCATCCAACCCGGCCTTGAAAAGAACCAGTCATTCTTGTGAAAGGTTGAGAAATGTATCAGCACATTTTGGGGTGGCAAATGAGAGTGCCTTTACAGCCGTTACAAACAGGCTGACATATATTCTCTACGAAGTTGACCACCTTCCACAGTGATGAACTGGCTGAAACTACAGCCCCGAGGTGCGTCTGGGGTAAAATAAAAAGAAATCCACACTCATATGCTTTTGGTTGCTGTTTTAGAGAAGGAAGAAACCAATATGAAAGAGCTTTTGGCATTTTACCTAAGGACCCTTTTGGAGCAATGTACAGGTAATCATTAGTATATTTATAGAAATTTTGTTCTTATTATTGTAGAAAAAAATAATGTTTTTAATTATGGCTCAGGGCAAATAAATACAATGATGTGAGAATCCCACTCATCAGAACCATCATGCAGCATTTTCCTTTCTCTACAATATCCATTCCTGGGACACTGTTTGATAATTTGAATAGAAGTATATAATTTCCTATTCTGAAAACTGATCACAGGTCTCTGGCACAGAGGTAGTGATAGTTAAAGGAAAAAAAAAAAATCCCTTTGAAGCCTGAGAATTAACAGCGTAATACACTGTTGGACTTCACTAGTATTAACGCCCTATTTAAACGCACGAATGTATAGCTGGACTCTGGCTACAGTAACACTCAAGGTAGGTTTATATGCAAAGAGAATATATTCTGTGTAAATAAAAACAGAGATTAGTGTTCAACCTAAAACTTGTAATAACAGTTATGTGGTAGGAATCACCAAGGATATTGTAGGTTACCTTTCCTATGTGCTGTGTCTGTTTGCATTATCAGATCAGAAGAAGAAATGCTGAAATTCATGGCTGGCCAGAACTCCGTATGGAGTATATGTGGCAGAGATGTTCTTGCCGCATTTGATCTTTCCCCTTTCACGCAGATCTATGACCTGGGAGGTGAGTATGAACAGATCTTGTTTAACGAGCCTCTGAACTGTTGTCTTTTACAAACTCTGAAAAGAAAAATAACTCCTATGTTATTTGATGGGCAAAACAATGAAAAGCAGGATGTATCTCAGCAATAAGGGGAGCATTTTACTGTCTTGGTTAAGTTAAAAAGAGAAATGTGAGAGTGGTGAGAGCATTAGGAAGCTGAATGCTTTTCTCTACAGTCTCATTTGTGTGAGTAGTGGCTTATCCCCTTGTGTATGTGGCAGCTTTGGCATTTTTTCCCACCTCCCTTGGTACATTCTTCTAGTTACAGACTCTTCCCCTTGTCCCCTTCAGTCAGTGTCCTCGAGATATTGTCTGCAGCCTCTTACCCTGCAGTGCCCCGCTGTCTCACCACTGCTAAGCGCTGCCAGGATTCATGGGACAGGTCAGAGTCCCTCACTGCTTCCCCAGTGCCTGATTTAGTGGCTGTTTTTCATTTCCCGCCTTCCAGCATCCACAGCTGGATCTGGCTGAGGGGTGCGTAAGAGCGGTAAGGGCTGGGGCTGACCCCATGGGGCTGGGGACCTGGAGCTTCCTGCAGAGCAACTGGAGGCAGTGGCCTCTCCTGTCCCTCTTCTTCCCTTTCAGCAACACACGGGGAATTAATTGCCTTTCCAGCTTCCATGAAGCTGAACGCACTGTTGCCTGCATCGCTTCAAGGGGGTGTTGCTGAACAGGTTGTTTTTTTTGTCAGCACTGACCTTCTTTTGCTCTCCCCAAAGGAGGTGGAGGAGCTTTGGCCCGGGAGTGTATTTCTTTGTACCCAAATTCCACGGTCACAATTTATGACCTGCCGAAAGTAGTGCAAGTGGCCAAAGAAAAATTTATTCCCCCTGAGGAGCGTCGGATCGCTTTCCATGAAGGTAGGTGCCAACAGCGGTGTAGTGTTGTCACAGCTGTTGTTCCTGAGCCCCTTGTCTCTGCTCAGAGGTACCATACTGGAGGCTGAGGTCTCCAGCTGCCCCGTATGTGGGCAGACTGTCGCAAACTGCAGCTTCTCCAGCCCACGTCTGCAGTTCATTGCTACTGCAGGGCTGTCCCAGCTGTGCATCTGCAGTGCATCTGCAGCTACCTTCTATCAAAGATGCGACTGTTATCCAGCAACCCAGAAGCTCTGTACTCCTGAACAGAACTATTTGATGTCTTCAGAACAAGAGTACTTTAAAAAAAAAAAAAAAAGTCCTGCAATTTTGAAAATCTGTCGTGCCATGTTATAAATCTTCCTAACATTCCCTTTTCTCCTGTGCAGACCTCCTGGCAGATGTGCAGGGCGCCAGGCCTGCTCTGAGCAAGGGGTGTTCCTTCTCTGGTCACGATTTAGTGGCCTTAATGTCCTAGATATTTCAGGCTTTGAATGTGGGTGAGCCAGACCATATTCCTCTTGCCTAGTCCATAGACCTTGCATGGTCTTTGCACCATCTGTGATGAAAATGAATGTAGCCAGAGCTGATTTTTAATGTTTACAAAAGCCTTCAAGGCGTTGGAATGACTTAACATTGCTTGAAGCTCAGAGAGAGGAAAGAAACCTTGAGGAGGGAGTATATAAAAACAAAGATGGAGAAACGCAGGAAATGCTATGTGTGCTGGTGGTGCACAAATACGGGAGCAGAAATGACAAAGACGCACAGAGAAAAACCTGAATGCAGTATACCTGGTGCTGAACAAAAGGCATAATGATGAAGCTAGTGCTAGGAGGTGAGAGTTGTGTATTTTCTCCTTATGGATTTATGATGCAGCTCTGTGGCTGCTGAAAGTCTTTGAAAATTTGCTTACATAAAGGAAATACATTCCTTTTTTCCATGACAGAAACCATAAGAAACTGTCTTCTCCTTTTAATGCTTTATGAATCTGAATTCCTATCATTGGGGAAAACTTAGACTCAAGTGTTTTCCTGTTCATCAAAAGCTATTTCAGGTGAGCTGCTGCTTTTAAACGTTTTAGACCTTCTTGAACCTGAACAAGAACAAAATCACTTGTGCAGTGCCGCAGAGGGCTTTCACCTGCTAATTCTGTTGCTGTCTGATGTGGGTGGGTGATGGATATGGCAAGCCCAGAGTCTGTAGAACTGTACAGAACTGAAAATATTTGCTCAACTCAGCCATCTGTGTTTCGGGAGTTTTGTGTAGTACAGGAGTTCTGTGTAATAATTCTTGCTTTACAGGAGATTTCTTTAACGAATCAGTTCCAGAAGCTGAACTGTATATCTTATCCAAGATACTGCACGATTGGGATGATGACAAATGTAGGCAACTGCTGGCAAAAGTCTACAAGGCTTGCAAACCTGGTAGGTGTGAGTTCTTGAAGAGCAGTGAGACTCTGACCTATCAGTAATGTGAAGCATAGCACTCTTCATGCTCAATTTGCGTGGGAGAGTTTCAGTGCAGGAGTTTCTTGGTTTATTCTTTTGCTTTCCTAAGCCAGCCGTGTGCAGCTGAGCCAAATGGGGCCTAGTCTATGTTGTCATTACCCATCTTCGGGTTTTAGTCTCCTTTGCTACAGGCACTCATCTTTCAAGGTATTTAGATGTAAGAATAGGGGATTTTGGATATTGTTTAGATAGAAAGGTGTATACATTATAGTAAAAATTCCATTAAGCATCACATTGAACCCTCGAAGCTCTCTAAACACTGCCTACAGAGCTGGGCTCCCAGCAAAATCAGTAAGCTCCTGTGGATTTCAGCTGGGGGATATGGGAGATTTCCATCCGAGCCACAGCATCCCCTGCAGCCCTGGTACATCAGTACCTATGTAGCCAAGCAGAGGCATGCTCTGATGCTTTTGCTCTTTCATTGTCTTCTGTGATGCTGAAATATGACTTAACATAGAGGCTGCTTCTTCCTGAAACTAAATGTTAGGATCTATTAACTCAGCTGAAAAATGTCTCGTCTTCTCAGAGCTCAGTGTGTGTTTTATTTCTCTTTATCCAACCAGGCGGTGGAGTGCTGCTGGTTGAATCACTTCTGAATGAAGATAGAAGTGGGCCTTTAGAAACCCAACTGTATTCCATGAATATGTTGGTGCAGACAGAAGGAAAGGAGCGAACAGCAGCAGAGTACAGCAAGCTCCTCGAGGCAGCTGGCTTTGGAGCGATTCAAGTCAAGAGGACTGGAAAACTCTATGATGCTGTTTTAGGAAGGAAATAACAATATCTCTTTTATGTACCTAATAAGATAGAGTAAGTGGAGGAATGCGGTATTCTCTTCTTAGAGGGGAATCATCAACTTAGCTTTTAGTTAAGGCAGCCAACTTTTTTGTAAGCTGATACATTGTCAGGAGAATCACTAATGATTGATCTTGAGTGTGCCTGGATTATGAGTCTGGCAGCCTGATCTGGCCTTGCCTTTGCATCTGGAAGGGAGAGAGAGAAATCAACACCTATTCCACAAGAAATAAATAGAAATAAACTACACAATTCTTTTGCAGGTTATCTGCTTCATATTTTTTCTTTCTTTTGAATTTTAACACTGTATCTGACAAAAGCAAAGCTGAATTTCTACTTGAACTCCTGTAAAATAAAACTGATCTCCATGCTGTGCTCTGTTACCTGAATTTTTGTTCCTGAGGAACTGATATACTACAAACAAACCAAATTATGTCTCCTTGTGGTTAATCTTTTCAGAGTTCAGGAGAAATCCTGTCTGAGCTTTGGGGAATTTGGCATGAAAAATGATACTAATTTTTTATTTCCTCTAGATTTGATTTAAGTGATAAGAATTTTGTAGCTTGATGACTGGCTGAAGCCTAGGGATGCTCTTTACAGGGCAGGCCCTGAGATGACATCCGAGAGGGAGAACGATGGAGCCAAGTCATTCAGGCACTGGGGAAGTCCTTATTGCATGCTTCCTGCTATTTCTTTAAATCATTTGATCAAGCACAACCTGTTATAACCTACCTAATTCTTGGAAGCAGAATTACAGATTACTGAAGTGAGAAACATTTGGAGAGAGCACCAGAAAGTCACTCTCTGCAGCTGTGGCTTGAGCACTAATTGCATTTGCACATTAAGCTGGATACTAGAGGAGCCTGAGATATTCTTCTCAGTAGCCATCTACGGGAGCCTTTGATGGTAGGAGGAGCATAGTGGGAAAGTAGCCTCAGTAGGGGAAAGCTGGCCGTTTGTCACCTTTTGTGGTATCAAAATCAAATCACAAGGCTGTAATAGCTCTTCTCGTCCTTAGAAGTTACAGGGCACAGTCCATAAGCCACTGTGCAGTTATAGTGGGTTTATGCTTGAGTAGGATCTTGCCCTGTAGATATCAACAGGATACTGCAGGAGTTGGGGCAAGTGGTTTTGGAGATTTCCCTCAGAAGCTGCAGTCACTGTGCAGTGTTCCCTACCTGTGAGATATGTGGCATGAAGGTGACTTTGCCAGGAGCTGCAGCCTGTGAGTAATGTGTTCTGAGTGCTCACTTGCTTTCCTGACAAAGCGAGGTGTTACATCCCGCAGCAGCCAGTCACGAACACAAATAATGTAATGAGGCTGACCAGGTCTTTGTTGATTTCCCCCGCACCCCAAAAAAACAAATGTTCAGAGAAATTATTTTGCTGGTTTGACTGTACCAAGCAGCCGATGAAGCATACTGGGGGGAAAAAATCTTGAAACTCGACTTTCTCTGATGTGCTTTTTGCCCCCAAAAAGTTATATGCCTGTGGACTTCTGGTTGCTTATGTAGCTGTGCTGTTTCCTGAGCCAGTAGACAGTCCAGTCATGGTCAGCGTGCTGCAGCTGCGTATATAAACTGACACATCATATAACCTTGATGGGTCAGAGAATTCCTGTCTTGGCTGGTGTCAGTAGTAATTCTGCCCTTGACTTGAAAAAAATCATGAGCAGGCTGTTTTGGTATGTCAAAACAAGTTCCTTAAATACAGTACTTTGGCATTGACTTGATTCATGACATGCTGTGCATGTCGTTAACTTACCAGTGAGTGGCTTGGGCACAACTTAAGCAAGATGCACACCTGGTTCTAACATGTCTTTTAGCTGTATCAAGGTTCAAAGACAATGGGTCTTTAAAGAACAGGATTGACCCATCAGTACAGATGGAAATGAATGAACTGAAAAATGATGATTGCAGAATTTGAAGATTGTATTTGAAGAAGTATTTAAATGACTTTTAAGGGTTAGATATGATGTCATATCAGAGCAGCTAAACACCAAGGTACGATCACAGTGTGCTATCACTTCTTGTGTGAAGCAGGCTATAGCTTCAGCTACTCGTTTCTTATCTGCTAGTTGACATTTGAGCATCCAGCTTCCTGGAGGACACTAAAGCACTCTTGGCTGCTGTCTTATGCTCAATGACCAAGGAAATACTGGAGTATACATAAGGAAGATACTGAAATTCTGTATTCACCTTCAGAGACCAGACCTTTGAAACCATAAAGTAATGTAATACAAGGACTTGTGCTGTTTTCTTTAGGCTATATTTATTTATCTACTCAGTTCTGGTTTTCCTATTCTTCTTCTTCAACCCTTCTGCCCTTTCCTTTACAGAGTATTTAACCTCCTTGTCCTTCAGAGCCTCTCTTTTCTCCCATGTGCCTTTGACCTTCGTCCATCCTTTAGTCCTTCCTTCCTGACCCAAAGAGAGAAGGTTGCTCTACAAGCACAGAACAAGTCAGTGCCAGAGTAAGAGTGGGCTCAGAGTGCTCTGAGGACCTGCCTTGACAAAGCAGAGGCATAGCTGGTCTCATCAGAACCTCTTCCTTTTTTTTTTTTTTCCTTTTTTTTTTCCTTTTTTTTTTTTTTTTTTTTTTTTTTTTTTTCCCCAGATGACAAACACTGTGAAGAAGACCTGACACAAGCGCTTTGCTGTATACAGGCAAATTAAAACTCTCTTCTCTGGTTTCCATGCTCCAGTAGGCATTTACTGATGACGCCTTATCATATATCAGGTCTTTCAGTTGTTTTTTTTGCTTGGATATTTTAATGTTAAAAAAGATTGTATAGTAACAAAGCAATAAGGTGGAGGTTTCCAAGTTACTTGTGTTTTAGGTAATGAAACAGTTCCTAAGTTTAGACCCTTTCATATTGCTGGGATGGGAGGTTTTCTCTTTGATGCAGATGGCTTTTGTCAACAGAGTTCTTTCCCCCTCTCCTATATGGCTTTTTGCCATATAGACTGAGATAAATTTTCTAGCTCCCAGTGTGACTTAGGAGTAATGAATCAAACCTGGCCATAGCTGGGGTGCATCAGCCAAGAGCAGAGGAGGAAGGTGCCAGGCAGGAGACAGTCCATGAGCTGAGACTGGCTGTGCCCAGCTGGACTGGGCGAGTGCAGCTGACCCCAAGGCTACTCTGTCTGTTAGGCATCAGGGCTTTGGCCTGGGAATTATACGGAAGAGCAGAGGGCAGGAGGAGCCAGGGAATTTGCCTGTTGGCATGCTGACTGGAAGCTGAAGGCTGCTGACTTTCAAAGGCAGATCTCTTCACCCTAAAGGTCCTTTTGGGAAGTTTCCTTCCGTGTAGCTGCAGGGAGCTGAGCCCAGGATGCTCTGTAATGTCTTCTGAGGCGTATCAGTGAGAGGTGCACCCAGCGTTGCTCTTGGTACCCATGAGCATGTACACATTCATGGGTCCCTGGAATATGACCATGGCCTCTACTTCCATCTGATCTTCGTGCCTCACCTGGTCACCATCTCTCACCTCTGGTCTTTCCAGATCAGTTGGATCTTCTCCTACTTAGCCAACGACACCTCTGGCCAAGGACCCATCGTCTGCTAGCATGTCCAGGTGCTTGGGCCAACCATAGCCCTACTGAATACGTGTATAGCAATATTAAATGTATCGGGTTTTTTGTTGATTTAATTTCTTTTTGTCTGTGACAGAAGTCTCTTCCTTTTCAGTGGTAGCTAGGCCTGGGCTAATAATTCAGTTCTCCAGACTTCATTAGACTGTGTGGGATAGGCTCCTCGCTTTGCATGAGAGAGGTGTTACTCTTGCCCCTAAGAGTGATTCCCGGTGTCTCAGTGAGAAGAAGACAGCCTTTGCTGGTGAGAGGCCACCAGCCTTATACTGACTTTGCTTTGTGTTGACTTTGCAAGGCTCTAGCTCTAGCCTTGTTATCTTGCTGCTTTGAAGAACTACGTGTGAAGCAGAACTTGATAGCAAGTATCTCTTGCTGTTTGTCATTCCACACTTAAACTTCCCCACCGTAACAAAAGCCTTGAAAACGTGGGTGCAGACTGAAGACAGATGCCCCAGCATCATCAAGAGCTTGCTGACAGTCATTGGTTGTTGAAGAAGCACAATCTTGAGCACTGGGAAAAGTGCTTCAAATATAACAAACAAAAGAAGCAGTAACTAGGCAAGAAAAAACACTGGAGGAACAGACTAAGGAACCTCTGGCTAGAAAAACAGCAGCCCAATATGCAGCTGGATTACTCAGAGGCTGGAGGCTGAGTGCTGCCTAGAGACACCTCACCACAGGAGTCCTCAAATGGAGGGGAGAAGGGTGAGAAATTGCCACCAGGAGAGCTGTGGTTGCAGAACGGCTGGATGGTGAGAACCAGGCACATGCCCCGAGGCTCCCCGCTGGCTCCCGGGTCCAGCTCTCCCTCCCTCCACCTGCCGGCTCCTAGAGCCCCCTCGAGGGACTTGGGACCTGCCCACCCGTTGTCCTGGGCCAGGTGTGCTGCTATGAGTCTCTGTGTGTTTTTCCCCACAAATTCTGCATGTTTCTCCCCTCTAATGCTCTAGCCCCTCAAAAAAACTTTATTGTAAACTAATTTAGTTTTGGGTGAGAGCAACATTTTGAATGAAGCTCCAGCAAGGTTATGGATAATGTCCTACACGGGGGTGGGGGGGTGAGATGAGAGAGAGATGGTGGGGGTGCTTTCTGAATCTCACTAAGGAAGGCCAGAAACAAATGGCTTAATGAAATAACTGTTTTAATAAGACAGAATAAGAAGAGGAATATAGACAGCAAGCAGATCTTACGTCCCTTCAGATGCCAGGCACCCATATTCATGCAGCATTAGATGAAGCCCAGCTGGATTTTCCCACAGTAGGTTATACAGATGCTGTCCATGGAGGGAAGTGCCTCATTTTGGGTTGAGTTATTATATAGTTTTCTTACAAGATGAACGACGTTCTCATGAGAACTTGTTGCTGTGCTGTTAGATACGGGCAAGGCTGCG